AGAAGGATGTTGCCATTTCAACTTGACTCACCCTTTTGTGGGCAAGGCAGGGGTAAAATTTAGAGAAGGATGTTGCCATTTCAACTTGACTCACCCTTTTGTGGGCAAGGCAGGGGTACAATTTAGAGAAGGATGTTGCCAGTTCAACTTGACTCACCCTTTGGTGAGCCACCCGAGGGTAAAATTTAGAGAAGGATGTTGCCAGTTCAACTTGACTCACCCTTTGGTGAGCCACCCGAGGGTAAAATTTAGAGAAGGATGTTCCCCTGCCAAGTTGACTCACCCTTTTGTGGGCAAGGTAGGGGTAAAATTTAGAGAAGGAAGTGGTCATTCCAAGTTGACTCACCTTTTGGTGAGCCACCCGAGGGTAAAATTTGGAGAAGGATGTTGCCATTTCAACTTGACTCACCCTTTTGTGGGCAGGGTAAAATTTAGAGAAGGATGGTGCCCTTCCAAGTTGACTCACCCTTTTGTAGGCCATGCAGGGTTAAAATTTAGAGAAGGATGTTGCCATGCCAAGTTGACTCACCCTTTTGTGGGCCATGCAGGGTTAAAATTTAGAGAAGGATGTTGCCATTTCAACTTGACTCACCCTTTTGTGGGACATGCAGGGGTACAATTTAGAGAAGGAAGTGGTCATTCCAAGTTGACTCACCCTTTGGTGAGCCACCCGAGGGTAAAATTTAGAGAAGGATGTTGCCATTTCAACTTGACTCACCCTTTGGTGAGCCACCCGAGGGTAAAATTTAGAGAAGGATGTTGCCATTTCAACTTGACTCACCCTTTTGTGGGCAAGGCAGAGGTAAAATTTAGAGAAGGATTTTGCCATTTCAACTTGACTCACCCTTTTGTGGGCAAGGCAGGGGTAAAATTTAGAGAAGGATGTTGCCAGTTCAACTTGACTCACCCTTTGGTGAGCCACCCGAGGGTAAAATTTAGAGAAGGATGTTGCCATTTCAACTTGACTCACCCTTTTGTGGGCAAGGCAGGGGTAAAATTTAGAGAAGGAAGTGGTCATTCCAAGTTGACTCACCCTTTGGTGAGCCCCCCGAGGGTTAAATTTAGAGGAGGAAGTGGCCATTCCATCTTGACGACCCTTTTAACTAAGCAAACATCGGGAAAGGGCCTGTGTGCGCACTTGAGTCTCCCCATGGACTGTGTGCGCAGATGAGTCGAATCTGTGTGCGCAGATGAGGCGCAAGTGCTAACAAAATGTGTGTGCGCAGATGAGCCAAATCTGTGTGTGCAGATGAGCCGCTGCCCGTCGGCCCGGTCATTCGAGGTTCATGCAAATGGTGTGGAGCCGAAGGATTACTTCTTGCGCTGCTTGCCGATGGAACTTCTGGAGAGTCATGGAGGGCTCTGCTAGAGACCAGGGCTTTGGACTTGAGGAGGGAATAGGAGGGTCTACAGGTTCCAGTCAGAGGATCACAGGTAGAGATGTGTGATCTGTGATCCATTCCATCGCCATCCGTCACTGAGGTGATCGAGGCCTGTGGTATTTGGACGACTTCACTGAACGCTTCGGAGAAGCTCCACGGTTCTTCACCTATGTCCACCCTCGAGGCCATGTGATGTCGAATCGATCGCAGCTATAGCCCAAATTGACAGGCGTGACAGGCACACATGCGGCCGTGGGTGAAACGAGCCCTCTCGAGCCCTCTCGTTTCTATGTATTTTGCTCATGATCACTCCAATTCTACGGCGCTGATGGTGGCACAAGACCTATCCAAACCTCTTGCGTTTCTCTTCGTTCTCTCCGTTCGACCGCCGCGCGACTCCAGGGCTGTCCTTAGCGGAAGACTTCGAGGAGGTGGCCGCAGCACTGGAGGCACTGATAGTTGAAGGGAACGAGCGTCGTGAGCGTCGTGGGTCCGCGAGTTCTCGACCTTGAACGCCGGATTTGGGCACTTGGCAAATCCTGCTCGGACGGCGGTGACAGAAGGTTTGCTGGCCTGACAGGTGGCGATGATGTTGCAAAGGAGATTGGTTTTGCCAATGACCATGAACTGCCGTCTCCTGACTTAACCTGGTGCTGAGGGTTTCATCAGGTTTCTTCCTGGCACTAAGTCACTAGGCCAAGCATGTTTTTTTTCATGGGCGCCTGGACACCTTGAGTGGGGTGCGCACCTGAGGTAATTGTCCTGCCTATGGGCCATATGGATTTGCAGAGTGGGCAGACAAGAAGGACCAGCGGAAGGGAGATCAGAAGGGCAATGGGGACAAATCGATGTTTTTGAATGGCACATGGTGGCACCCTCGACGTTCGGAGTTGCCATGGTTTGATGTTTTAAGGTTAGCTTCCATATGTATAGTGGGTGCCTTAAAAGGCCCCAAGATTTTGACTTAAGAGCCAGCACATGAAGCAGACATTAGAGGACCTGGGTTGTACCTTCGACTACTTCTCCCGAGCTAGTTTGGCAATGGGCGAGTGGCTTAAGTTTACCGTGGAGCCCTGCCCTGAGCAACGTGAGAGAGAGAGAGAGAGGGAGAGCTAGGTCAGCTAGGATTCTTGTTAGCTTTAGATGAGCTCCTTTTCTGATATCGTTTACCTTGAATGTATCTTGCACATTTGTGAAAGCATGCAGCTACTTGCTGGTTTCCTAGCAGGGATGTTGCCAGTCAATGCAATGGCAATGAGGTCAGGTGTGGTTTGGCTCCCTGAATTTCAAGAGCTCCTAAAAGCAAGGCCTGCACAGAGCTAGTGCTTGGCACCTCCGCCATGGCAGAACTTCAAGTTCTGATCAGCTTAAACTCCAGTTCATTGCAACATCCCATCAATGCAGAATCGAAGGCCAAGCTCAAAATAGCTCAAACGTTTTGGAGGTAGTAAATTGGTACATCCCCATGGTTCATCAATGTTCATCATCTTCTAAAGAGTTGTGGTGCACCATGGCTGAGATTTCGAAGATGGCGAATTCCAGGCTGAGGAATGGAACTCAGGGGATGTTGGTACTGGATTGGTCAGGGAAATGGAGCACCCGGCCCCTGCAGGCGCCACGTGTCCGCGGCCTCGCTCCAGACGGAGCTCCGCTCGGCCGGCGGCCGGCGCCCGGCCGAACTCTTCGGAGACACCGCGGTGGTGCAGCTGGGCCGCTGGGCGCGGGGTAGTCCTCGGAGACATTGGGTTTGTCCAGCTGTGGGTGTCAAATGGGACAAGAGTAGGAGGAGCATTGAGCTGGAGATTGAGGGTAGGAGACAGATCATGAAATCATGACGAAATCATCCGTTGTTGCCCATTGAGAAAGGCCCAAGGCGCCCAAGGCCATCCGTACGTGCCATCCGTACGCGCCAGGTTCGACCGGTCCGAGATCCGGTATCGACCGTCCCGTCGACCTGAGGGGAGGCCTTGCGAGTCCACGTGCTTCGAGACCTTCTGAAGCAAGCAGTCCGTGTCTTGGGAGCGAAGGCGGCGGAGGGTTTGGAGGCTTTGAGAGACAGCGCGGCGCGCGGGTGGAAAGAATGAGGAACTGGGAGACATGATGCGGAAGCAAATTCACAACACAAAGTGCAGAATCACGACCAGTCGAAGCATACTACTGTGCAGTGCAGATCAAACATCGAGTGGCTTTTGTCAGGAAGGTTTGGTTGCAGGATGTCGCACGTCGCCGACACTCAGTCAAAAGAAATCAACAGAATCCTGTGCGGGAACTTCCATTTGTCAGCATTTGCATCGTCAGTTCCCTTTGTTGAGAAACTTTGGTGCCACTAGCATCCATTGGCCGGCATTATGTGTTGGAAGCTTGCAATAACTCATACCATTTGCCCAGAGGATTCCAACATGCGTACCGGAGTTGTAATGACGAAGCTGCAAAGTTTTAAACACATCCGTTTTGGATAAAGCAAGCGATTTGGACCCCCTGCATGACAACTCTTGGTGATATCAAACAGTGAGATCAAACCATAACTTGTTGTTGAAGGATGCTTCTCCAAGCCTGCACTTGGCGTTTCCCTTCGCCTCAATGACTGAGGGGGTCAGCCGCTTGATAGTTTGCCTTGTGCCTGGCGAGCATGGCCTGCCACAACCTTTGCATGTCGCAACCTGGTAGCAACAGCCTCCAATCCTGTGACCTAGGTTCTGCAAGATCCCGAAACATCTTTGCAGCAGCTTGATTTCCTCCCTCACTTCAGGCGACGCGGTGCTTCCTCAAGTGGGTGAAGAACACTCTGGCTGGGAGTGTTGACTTTGCAATGTTTTGTCCATAATCCAGTGATCATGCAACCGGCAACCATGCAGCAGATAGACCTAACCCGGGCATGTATACAAAAGAAGTACAGTAAGACGCGTGGACGTAGAGAAGTGCGAAGTGTGCTGATGTCGAGAGATGTAAGTAATGTATAGATTGTATAGTAATGTCAGGTGTGTGCACATCTTCAGCTGGAGATTTTGGGTGGAACACTGCCCTCGGTTGCAAGCTGTACACACATCATTTTGTACACGCTGCGAGCGTGTTGCAGGTGGAAGAGATCTCAGAGCAAGCTGCGATGGCTCGATGCAGGGAGCAACTTGGCTCAGGTGGTGAGAATGTGCGGGGCAGCTTCCAACTTCAACAAAAAACACTCCAAGTGCTCTAAGTGCTTATATACTGTAACAGTCAGTAAACAATATCATAATTTTTGAACAAGGCCCTTACTAACCATCATCATCCACCGTTACAGGTATTAGGATAGACCCAGTATTGATTTGTGATGATTCATCCGTCCGGACCACGTCGGAAGAGCCTACCCGTCGTGACGTGGGGCTGGGCCAGGAATGTGGGCTTTTGCCCTTCATGTGTTGTGAAGCCTACTTTGGCTGGGCGGAGAAGCTGGAGGTCCTAGGCGGAAAGACCTGGGATTTGCCCTGTGGATGCGGCCTGGGAAGACACTGCGCTCAGACGAGCAGGACCTCAGACATGCAGGTGCGGTCGCTGTTCGACTGATGCGGTCGCTGTTTGTATCCCTGATTCTGATGCCGGTCTGGCGTTTTCGATGCTAGCTGCTAGCTGCCAGCTTAGAAAACGCATGGAAAAAGCTAAGCAAAAAGAGGAACCACACAGCAGCGGCACAATGAACAGATGTTTTCTTCAAACCGCTAGGCACACCATGAAGGTCTAGGGGTGTTCAATCCTTCAATTCCACAAGACACCTGGTGCAGGTTTGCTGTGAGCCGCGCGTGGTCGGGGCCAGGAAGAAGTTTGGTAGGGTCCCCAGGGCAAAGATGAAAGGACCACTAAGCACAACTTGCTGTTGTATCCGGCAATTTTTCAGTCTAGCGCCAGGAGCCATGAGATTCCATTTGGGCGAACTTGGTAGGAGAGCTGATCTGAGCTGATCATTTGCGCCATTTTGCAGTGCTCAGCAGCACCGCCCTGCGTGTTTCACCTCACTTTCCAAAGAATGCAACCGTGCTACCATGTGCTACCTATGAGCAACAGAAATGGCACCCACATGCACACTTTTTGGCGGAGATGCTTCAAAAGGTGTGGCATGCTGCACAGCTAGGCAATCACAAGCGTGTCACAGCCTGTCAGATAACAGCACTCATATTACTACACTGGCTTAAATTTCGTAGGGCCTTCAAAGACCATGATGGGGGGCATGTTGCTCTCCTGAACACGCCATGTCATGGGTGGAAAGAGCAGCAAGGACTTGCTGAAAGGTGCCCGGCGGCGTGCTTCGCTACGAGCAGGTCCCCTTCAGGTCAGTGGCCGCTACCATCATTTGCCCCGGAAAATCTCGGATGATTACATCTTGTCTGAGACCATTCTTGGCTCCGGATTTGGTGGGAATGTGATCTTGGCCACTAGCCGCAGGATACCAGGTCGTCGCTTCGCGGTGAAGAGCATCAAGCTCTTTGGCAAGCCGAAAGTGCGCAGAACTCTCGCCGCTGAAGTGGAAGTCTTCCTTTCTGTTGACCATCCTCATGTCTGCAGGCTCTTGGATGTCTACGAGAGTCACGACAGGATCGACCTGGTGATGGAAGCATTGGAGGGTGGAGAGCTCTATGATCGTGTGAACCGGGGGAAGTTTTCGGAGAAGGATGCTGCTGATGCCACATATCAGATGCTGCTGGCGATTCGCTACCTACACAGCCTTGGCATTGTCCATCGTGACATCAAGTTGGAAAACTTCCTCTACGATGAGAAAGGTAGCAATCACCTAAAGCTCATTGATTTTGGCTTTAGCAAAGCTTGGGATCCGGAGGTGAACCAGAAGAAGATGAAGATGAGTTGTGGCACCATTTGCTATGTGGCCCCCGAGGTGATCCTGCAAAGCTACACGCATATGTGCGACCTTTGGAGCTTGGGCGTGGTCGTCTTCTTGCTCTTGGTGGGCTACATGCCCTTCCCCATGCGACCAGAGATGGAGGAGATGGAGCGCGACATCCTCAATGCCAACTTCAGATACGACGCAGCCAAGTGGAGCAAGGTTTCACCCAGCTCGTATGACTTTGTGTCCAAGCTCTTGAAACGGGATCCGGAACAAAGGATGACTGCCGAGCAGGCTTTGGCCCATCCCTGGATCGTGCAACGCGAGCAGATGGCCAGTGGGACGGACTCTACGGGGCTAGATGCTTCAGTGGTCACCTCCTTGGCCAAATATGCCCAAGCCTCCAAGTTTCGCAGGACAGGGTAACAGAACTTTCAATCAAAATGACCTGTCATTGACTCCTAACCTGTCATGACCTGTCTATTTGGATCTTTCTTTAGACCCATTAGGATCGTTTATAGGCCTTATATCGTTTCCCAGTGTCTGAAGGGCACCACGTTTTGCAGGACTTGCCTACAGGTCATGGCCTGGTCTCTGTCGAACACGGAAATGGCGGAGGTTCGCCATGCCTTTATGGAGCTGGATGCGGACAAGAAAGGCACCATTCAGCTTCATGAGCTCAAAAATGTGCTGGAAGAAAGGTTCAACATCACAGACGAGGAGACCAAGAAGATCTTTCAGGCACTTGATGCAAGCAATCATGAAGAGGTGAAATACTCGGAGTTTTTAGCTGCCATGATGTCATCCCGCATTGAGATCCATGAAGACCTGGTACGCACGGCCTTTAAACGCTTTGACACCGACAATTCGGGCTTCATCACCGTGGAAGAACTTCGACAGATCTTGGGTGAAAGCCTGGAAAGTGAGGAGCAAGCAGCTGCGATTCTGGCCGAGGTACCCCAGTTTGTGGATGACAACAAGCTCTCTTATGATGAGTTCATCGAGTACCTCATCAGTGGAGAGGCCCAGGAGTCCTTCAAGGAAGTGGCCAGTCTTGTGATCGACAAGCAAATCTCTATGATGAGCTCGGATCAGATTGCACATTTGCCAGCGGCCCCCTTGGAGCCCAAGCACTGTGACGAGATCCGCTATCACCGTGCCAAGAGCTTCGGCGCAACATTCATTCGCGAGGACTCGGATGAAAAGGGCCTTCCACCTGTAGCACCTCTTCGGACAGCACCTGCCAAGGCAGCGATCCAGGAAACCACCGAGACCTTGGAGGATGCGCAGGGTGACAGTCAAGTGCGCAGTCAAGTGCAGCAAGAGAAGATCGTAACCTCAGTTTGCGCAGTGCTTTGAAGGCTTGCCTTGGCCTTGGCAGTCTTTTGATGCGGCCTCGTTTGACGAGAGGCGGGCTTCGAAGCTTCATGTCTCTCATCGGTCGATCCCAAAGGGTTCTCGGACCAGCGCGAAAAACATCTGCTCTGGTTTGAGCATTGTACGCTACTAGTAGCAAGGATGCTATTAGGGGCTCCTGGCATCTCTGCTAGGAGCATTCTTACTGCTAGTACCAAGAAGCTACTAGGGGCTCCTGGCCTTACTACTAGGAGCAAGAAGCTAGTAGAAACAATAAGCTACTAGGAACAAGTGCATCGCTTCTAGTAACAAGTGCCTTACTACTAGTAACAAGAAGCTATTAGGAGCAAGAAGCTACTAGGAGCAAAGGGCATCGCTACTAGGAGCATTGTACGTTCCAAGTTTCTCACCCCGACTGCCCCCTGTGGGGGCCCTCGGACCGTCTCCGACACTCGAGCCAATGTGCCTCGAAAAAGAGAAAATGCAGCCGTTGTCCGGGCCGCTCGTTTCGGTTTGTTGGTGTAGCAACTCTTGTGCGAAGAAGGGTTGTGCAGGCATTTGGGTATCGGAAGACCTCTGCGTTGCATCCAGGTTCCTTTGTGAGCTGTCCTTGCACCGCAACTCCTGGCCAGTCAGGTGAGAATTGCGGTCACAATCCGCCGGTAGAGGCCTTGCCTGACTTGGTGTCCTGGCCATTCAGGGCGGTGGGGGCAAACTTCAGGTGAGAGGATTCTTCACACGAAGTTTACGTGAACTGCCGTGGTGCAAGCAGTTCACATCTGTCCAAAGACGCCCCCCAAGGTCCCAGATGACGCTGCAGCTTGGCTGGGACAAGGAAAACCGCTTGATCCATCTCCAATGTGACTGTGGGAACGTAGCGTGAACATGGAGCCGGACGAGAATCCACCCAACAGAACTGACCAGAATCCACTCAGTTGAACAAGCACGGGATCTGGAATTGGCATTTGTTGGCATTGAGACCTACAGCAGTACCCAGTGCCATCGACCAGCCGAGGATACCTACAGCAGCTCTATCTTGCGGGAGCTCGCCAAGGGAAATCTAGCAAGAGAGGATCGATCTGAGAAACCAACCACTTCATGAAACTTCATGCAATACTGATGGCCGCAATGCTGGTGCCTGCCATGCATTTTGCCCCTGGGCCCACTGTGGACCCTGTCGTACATACACTCTCAAAGACTCTTTGGATCCTTTGACGAGTGCAGTCTTGAGAGCAGGTGACATGTTTTCAACACACTGCAGTGTGGCTGCCATGTGGTGTGGCTGCCATGCCAGCCCTGCCAACAGAGTGTCACGGATGTTCGCAGTGTTTGGCGCCGTTGTCTCTTTTGAGATAGCTTCTTGTTACGTTCGTAGTAAGAGTGCTCCGTTCGTAGCGATGCCAGGAGCCCCGTTCGTAGCGTCCGATCGCTCCTAGTAGTAAGGCTAGGAGCCCCTAATAAGTAGCTTCTTGTTCCTAATGGCTTCTTGTTACTACTAGTAAGGCACTTGTTACTAGAAGCGATGCACTTGTTCCTAGTAGCTCCGATCGCTCCGTTCGTAGCGATGATGTTACGTTCGGTTCGCGTCCTCTGGTAGCGTCCACGTCTTCGGTGTGCTCGGACCATCCAGGATGCTGAACGCTTGTGCCTCTCCTTTGCCGCCCTTCACAAAGCCCTGGGAGGTCAGGAAGCCTGGCGCTTTTGCCAGGCGCGTTGCATGCGCACGGGTAGAAGGCCGGCACAAGGCCTTAGACCGTAGAAGGTGCAAGACGGTCTGACAAGATCTGACTGTGGATGTGTACCATACGAAGAGTGCAAGCTTTCGCCAGTGCCGGACTGGCCATGTGTTTTGGCGCAGGACCTGCTGGAGTGTCTTGGCAGCACTGGCCTTCAGTGAAGTTGAGGGCTTTGAGTCTTGAGAACATGTTTCCGGGCTGCTGTATTGAAACATATGGCTACCAACATGTAGATGGAACAAGATAAAAGACAGAGAAGCAAACAAACCATGGAGCCGAAGACATACTAGTAGCTACTAGGAGCAAACAACTTCCTTGGGAATCGTTTCACTGGGAATCGTTTCACCTGTAGTAACAAGAAGCTACTAGTATGTCTTTGAAGCTATTCATGTGTTATTCTATTTGCTGAGGCGGTTCCTGGGTGCCCAAGACGGCTTCGCGACACCGTGTTTCGGCACTGGTCGGTTGAGGGGTTGTGATGCGCCTTTTGCAAGCGGCAAATACCGTGGACAAGTGCAGTAGATCCTGTTATGTCGGCGTTATTTGTTTTTAGGATCTTTTTTTTTAAATAAAGGGATGTATATTATATATATATACAAGTATAGTATATTATAAATATATATAAGTTTATAAAAGATATCTATCTATCTATCTATCTATCTATCTATCCGCATATGATCAGTGATAGTGAATTCCCTACCCCTTAGAGCTTTCAAAGCCCAACCATCCGCACAACCCAGATGCGGAGAGGGGACTGCCTGTGAATATCAGTGAGCTCAGGCAGCAGCGCCCGGCAAAGCGAGGACAAAAACGCACGCTTTGAGGGAGTCGGACTAGTTGGCAACCTTAGAAGGCAACGCATTTTTTCAAAAAAACTTTGGCCACTTGAGCCCTCCGAAGAAGTCGCATCCACTCCGAGAATTCGAGTGCCGCGCTTGGCCTTTTGGCGGAGTTCAGCGATGCGATGGTCTCGACATCAAGCAGCTCCCACCGTGGTGGGTGTCCGACTGTCTCACCCAAGAACGCCCCCCAGGTCTGCAGCCTTACATCGAATCGCCAAGGCCGCCGATCACTACCAGGCGCGTTTTTCGGAGGTGGGAGAAACACTCCGACCAGATCCAGGGCTCCAGGGACGACATCGTGAAGTGATGTGTCTGCTAAGCCGAACTCAAGTGTCGAGCTGAAAGAGTCAAGATCCTTAGGAAGGTGAGGCATGAAAGTCTGACACCTGGTGAGTCATGTGGAGCCATGCATTCAGAAACATCAAAAAAAGGAGAAGTCACAGAAGTCAGGCCACACTGGACCGATCTTGAAATGACCGCTCCCGATCTTCTTTGCCTCGCCAGGTCAAGGGCGATGACCGTTTGCGGTCGTTGGCCTCCAAAGCCACCCGTGGCTCGGTAGGTCACGGGGAGGGGAGCCGGGGCGAAGGTAAGAAGATTGGTGCATCGCATGGTGTGAAGGTGCTTTCTCTGTGTGGCTGAGGGGAGCTGGTGAAGTGGGACAAGCTCAAAAAACCGCAGACGATGTGACTTGGCCAGATGTGTTCAGCTTGAAGCCTTGAATGGTCTGCCCGAATGGTCTGCCACCCTGGATCGGTCGACGAAGTCGAAGCCAAGGTCAAAGATCGTTTGGGCCATGGCCAAGCTCAACCTGAAGCTGCACAAGCTCGTCGCCCAGGCCTATGGGGTGAATCGGAGTCCGAGGCCACAAGTCGGGGAGTTCGCAGGAGCGTGAATCGCAGCTCAAGGGGATACTGACATGAAAGAACATCACCGGAAATCATGCAAGTTACGTCCCTCAGGTTTCAGAAGAGGCTTTGCAGAAGCTGCCTGAATTTGAGCCGCAACAGCTGCTGGGCCTAAACAGAGTTGAAGTTGTGTCGACCGAGAGGCAAGACATGGGCATGCGTGGTGTCTTTATAATCAACTGAAGTTCATGCATCTATCTCATGAATCTCCATTTGACGCTCCAATTTGCTTCAGATCTTGTAGGATGGCAGAACTCTTTGATACTATTTGCTTCAGAAGGTATTCCTCAATCCGTCTGACATTCCGAAGGGCCCATGAATGTCATCGCATGTCGGCTTCCAAGGTTGGTAAACCTCATGTCCGAAACTGAGAGCTGCTAGAGTCTGCCAGAGCTGAGGGAGCATTTGACCTTTGCTCTTCTCTTCTTCTCATGTGTTGCGACTCTGGCTCAGCTGGTCCTATGCGACTCTCCGCACAGAAGAGCCTGGAGCCTCAGAGCCCGAAGCGACGAATGAGGCAGAGTATCACCTGGGTCAAGCAAGCAGAAGATGTTGAAGCTGTAGACTGAAGATGGGTCGTGCCATGACCTGGACCTCATTGTATCTACAACCTCCTCCGTGACGGAGCCCCCCCCAAAATGCCGGCCAGGCAAGGCGGACATACCGCCCACCACCCTAGGTCTACCACCGCCCACCGCCCACCACCCTGGGTCAAACGGAGCCCACCGCCCTGGGTGTTCCCTGACGTGGAGGACTCCAGGACTCCTGGACTCCAAGCGACGGATCGAGGCTTCCCTTGCGTCAGCTGGCCGCCTTAGATGGGAGGATCGCTGAGCTGGCACCTCTGGGTCGGACGAACCTGGCCTGGGCCGTGGCGAAGTTGCAGGTGGGGAGCAGCTGCCTGAGGACACGGGTGATGAAAGCGTGATGAGTTCACACCGTGGCGACACCTTGGGACACTTCGAATTCGAGAAGAGTTTGAGTGGAGTACGGAGTACTAATACCTGTCTGATTCCCATGTGGAGCGACGATTCTCTGCTCATTGCAGAGAACGTTGATCAACTTGTTTTCCGGGCCTCAGTGCACACTGACACTAGAGTAGAAAGGTGTGCTTTTTTCCGGGTTCCACAGGGCTCTTCTTGGTTCAGGTCCAGTCCTGGAGCATCCAAGAGCTGGGTTGCTTGGAGACACGCGCAGGTACAGATTGAGTGTCCAGATCCGGCTTAGCGATTTAGGCCTAGCAAGTAGTAGATAGAGAATGTTAGAGTCAGTAGGGGTTGGTATAGGGTGTAGATCGCTGTAGTGCAGGTAAGGGGGCTGCGTTGTTTTGAGTTGCCTGAAATAGCTGATTACTGGCGGAGTTCCTTTCAGGTGGAGTGAATAGTTCTGCTGGCCTGGCCATTCAGGTCCCGGTGAAGTGAAAGACCTTACTGTAATGACAAAGGCAAGTGAAAGGAATGCCACTGCGCCCTGCAACGATCCAGAGGCTGGTGTGCGAGTGCCGCAACAGTGTCCCTGAGATGAACGGTGGTGGATCTCAGCGGTTTTGAAGTCGTCATGCTTGTGAGAAAGATTGAAAGGGGGAAGGTACGCTACTAGGAACAAGTGCCTTACTAGTAGCAACAAGAAGCTATTAGTAACAAGTGCCACGCTACTAGGAACAAGTGCCTGGAGGCCATTGCTTTTAGGTTGGAGGCTATCGCTAGTTAGTAGGTTGGAGGCCATCGCTAGTAGATGGTGGAAGGGTCGGACGTAGACAGCATCACAGCCTTCTTGTAGACATGGTAGACATCCGAAGCACAGCATCCCGCCGGGCGTGCCGCCGAGGGCAAAACCTGGCGAACACCAGCTGGGCCTTTGCAACTTTGCGCGAGGCAGATGAAGACTTCTTCAATGCAGTGGCCAAGGCCAGACCAATGAATGACACAACGCCGCTGACAAAGTGCTATAAAGCTAATCCAGACGTTTGCCAAGCTGCTAAGTCAAGAAGCTGCTCGTAGCAAGGACGCTACTAGGGGCTCCTGGCATCGCTAAGAACGGAGCATTTCGGGCATCGCTACGAACGGGGCTCCTGGCCTTACTACGAACGGAGCATTTCGGGGCATCGCTACAAGTAGCAAGGGCATGCTGCCTCGATGTATCGGTCTGTTCAGGTGGTCAGAGCTCAATGCCAGGAGTTTGCTCAGCAGAAGCTTGGCTGTTCCACTCATTGGACTTCGGTGCTTACAGCTTCGGGCGAAGCTGTCGCTGGACAGCTTCGCCCCCGTTCAGCATTGACCTTTCCCCATCCGCCCCCTTATGCCGTTCCTGAGGAATCTGAGCAATATGGCATGGGCCTATGCAAAGGTGCAAATCAAGAGGCTCGAGCCTCCCAGGGCCGTTTGCGTCCTCCGCGGGTTGGATGGATGACGGAGGATGACGGCCTTCGCTTCCCCCGAGTTTGGGCGCTCTGAGTTGGGAAGGTGATCACCATGGGAGGTTCATTTGTCCGCATGTTTTGTGACACTTTGGCCATTCGCCCCTTCCAAGGGGCTTTGAGGAACCAGAAGCGGTTGTTTGATGTTGTTTAGGATTTGATGCTCCTGATGAAAGTGTTCGAGGCCTGAGATGATGGACGCCATCTCTGAATCTGTGCAACGAGTGGTGAACGACATGCCAGCACAAGGGGTGGCCAACACGGTGGGGATGCCAATCTAAGTGTGGGATGAGGATCAGCGGGCAAACTCTGAAATGAACACACCATCTGGAAGGCAACGACAGACATCCAACGCTGATGGTTTCGGTGCTTCCGACAGCTTTCTAAACTGCACACGATGGTCCTGCACGCGGTATGCAGGCTTTTTTGGACAGATATAAGATGGGCTAGCGGATAGCGAGACGAGGCGCAAGCCACTCATGCGCAAAATCCAATCCCAAGGACAACCTTGGCTTGTTGGCGGACTTTTGGGAAGGTGAAGAGAAGACGTTCAGAACTAGAACAACATGAACAACCAATTGCACTCCCGCACTCCCTGGAACTAAAATTGGAAGTGGACAATGGCCTCTTGGAAGACCATGAAATCCTTTACAAACAGGGTGTTTTCCACTTCCACGTTAGTTCCAGGGAGAGTAATGTCCTTGTTGCTCAAGGTTTGGTCCTTTGCTACCTTGAATATCCGCGACGATGCCCTGATGCGGGGACCTCACGCTGCACTTTTGGGTCAGACACGTGAGCGAATAGAAACGCGTAGCTCTGTGACGTAGCTGCTAACCATAGACTGAAAGTAGGACTAGTAGGACTGGTACACTGCTACACAGTAGGACTAGACTAGTTGGTACTATCTATAAACAGTGTACATAGATGTACATAGGTGGGACTTGGGGGTCCTACAGGTGCTGTTTCAGCAGGACTACTCTCGGATGTTAGCAGCTGCCCTGAGGGATGTTAGCAGCGGAAGGTGTAAGCTGATGTCCACCTGGCAGCTGTAGGATCAAGCAGGCTCAGGGGGGAGCCACATTCCAAAAGGCCCGGCCAAAATCAACATTTAGCAGTTGCTGGAGCTAATAGCTTTGTTGAAACGTGGGACCTGTATGCTGACGATGTGGACAGTGGAGTAAGATCACAAGATCTGCAAACTGCATACAAACTAATCAGCTCTTAGGGTGAACAGGTTGGCAAAAGGACGTCCAAGTGCAACCTCGATGGCCGCCTTCACCAACAGCAGGGGGGCTTTCCAGGATGAGGCTCGCAATGCATTGGGCATCAATTTGCGAATTATTCTGCTGGAGGCCATTGCTACTAGGTTGGAGGCCATCTCTAGTAGGTTGGAGGCGATATTTTAGTGGGTCAGGTCCTTTTCCGTTGGGTCTTGCAGCTTCAGCACCTTTCACCGGTTGTCATATCCCGTTGTCACTTAAACTTAAAGCCTGCCGTGAGGTGCAACAAGTCCGCAGCCAAATCCGAAGCGTCCTGGTGGCTTGGCAAGTCTCGGACATCATGTCTCACGACCCATCATGTCTCCTGGTGTCTTTTTTTTTTTGGCCTCTCAGTACCTAATCACAGAAAGAATCATGCAGGAAACATGTGTGTCTAAGTCTACGAGAGAATCCCTCTAAGAATAGGAGCCGCCTGAATAACACAACAATGCAAGATGTGAGGAAGGAATCAAGGAGCAGAGAAACATAGAGGGAACTAGAACAGAGTAGACAAATTTACTGTAAATCAATTTACAGTAAGGAAGGCAGTAAACAAAAGAAATAAATGCAAACCACTACTAAGGAAAGGTAGCAGTAATTAGAGAAAAACACATGCTATTTGTGAAATACGTCTTGACAAGGAACGGTAGCAGTATACAATCAGAAAAATAACGAAACATATATTAGAAATACGTCTTGAAACAAATCTGGAGGATCAATTTAGTATGGGAAAAAACGATACAACGAACAAGGAATCAACAAATACTCCAGAGACTAATCAAGATGCCCCCTCTTGCGCAGATATGGCCCAAAAACATCCAAGAACAACCCCCTCCACTGGGCCAATGCACTGCGGCGAGTGTGAACCAATGCGCCAAGAAGATCTGAGTCGAACCGATCCCTTTTACGCGACTTTCTCACCAACCTTGGCTCAAGCTCATTGGAGCTACACACTTGGAACCCACCGCCTTGCCTCGCCACCGCGCGCCACCGCACCATGCCTCGCCGCCCGGAGCGTCCGGGAGGCTCTGTCGACGCTCCGTCCTTGTCCCCTGGAGCGGCGGAGAGCTTCGTGGTGCTGCGCAAGCTGGGCTCTGGAAAGTTCGGGCAGGTCAGGGAAGTGCAGCACAAGTGAGTATTCACTTAGACGTGGCGAATGAGGTGGCTTCTTACGGATGACTCTTCAGGGCAGGTTGAAGTCACATAAAAACCTAAGTTGAAGTCATTCGCTAGTAGGTTTGGAGGCCATCGCTAGTAGGGTGGAGGCCATCCGCCCATCGCTGTAGTTCGGGCAGGTCAGTGAAGTGCAGCACAAGATCACTCGGAAGCGATTCGCATGGAAGCAAGTCTCTTTGGACCCGACATATGCCGACATCGAGGTGCAAGTGCTGCGCCGGATGAAGCACAAGAATATCGTGGGCCTTTATGAAGTGTACCAGGAACATGGCGTGATGGACATGATGCTGGAACTTTGTAGGAAGGGAACTATGGCGGCTTACATTGACTCCAGGTTCGAAACTGTTGGAAGGGTGAGATGTTACTTGAAGCCAAACTCCTGGGACATTGGGATGGCCATGTTGCAAATTCTGAATGCTGTTGGCTTCCTGCACGAAAGCCAGGTTGCACATCGTGACATCAAGCCCTGCAATGTGCTTTTGGGAGACCAATGGAAACTGGCTGACTTCAACCTGGCATGTGAATTCCAGCCTCGAAGCTACATGTCAGAGCGGGCTGGCACGAAGCCATATATGGCACCAGAGGTGGAGGAAAGTCACTACACTGAGAAGTGTGACCTTTACAGCACTGGAGTGCTTTTTGTCGCCTTGGTGCACGGAAAGAGATATGTTCGACCTGACGGTGCCAGTGGTGCCATAGAGTCAGAATCTGCAGCCAAGGAGCTTTTGAGTGAGGAGAAGTGGAGACGAGATGAGTCACTTGAAGCCTTGCAGTTCGCCACACAGATGCTCGCGCCGGAGGGCGACCGTTGTGATGCCGAGGATGCGTTGCAAAATCCCTGGTTGCTTCGGCATTCTTGTTCTCAAGAAGGCTGCTGCACAATCAGCTGAGTTGCTCAGACTGCCGCTGAGTAGCTAAAGGCTGCCAATTCGATGAATTGACTCTGGTCCGTGCCATGCGCCGTGCGCCTGGTTCCATGCAGTGCTGTGGTGAGGATGTGGCAACACCGGCGTCCTCTTTCACCAACTCTTTGAATGCTTCAATGCTGCGTCAACGATGTGGCATAGGGTAGGCAATGCTGCTTGATTCAGTCAGAGTGCGTCAGAGTGAGGACTCTTTCGACTCCTTGACTGGGACGCTCGTCAGCTGCCGCTCAACATCAATTGGATCAAGGTGTCCTGTCAGCAGGCACAGTCGTGCATTTTCAAGTGCACCATGAAGCAAATCATTTTCCTAGTTCCAGATGCTGCATAGACTTTATGCGGCATAAAGCCCCAAGAGGGCCTCAAAGATCAAGACTTTTTGAGCCGGAGCGGATCAAAACAGGGGTTGATTTGTGACTGCTTCATCGCTGTGTGTGGTTTCTTCGTTTTTTTCTACCACCTGCCCTGCCTGGCAGGGTCAGGAAGATGATGATGCGTGTAGTGAGTGGTTCGATGGCACCATGAGCGAGATTCTTGGGCAGCAGTGGCAGCGCGTGTGTTGGGCTCATGGGTTTGGTCGGCAGCAGCTGCAGGGCCATGCGACTTAGACTCAGACCATTTATATCAACCCTGATGTCTACATCCGATCTGGTGAGTCATGTCACATGACTTAGTAATACGACCTGTAAACGGTCACATCCACTGGGCCCTGGTCATCGGATAGATCCAAGCGATGTTGAGAAGGAGGCCATCGCTAGTAGGTTGGTGGCCATCACCTGTAAGAAAGACACGCATGCACTGGAGACCCATATGATCTGGACCCCTGGGTCCCTTGCTTTGGCTGAGGAGTGCTTTCAGCTCCTCCAGTCGACAGCTCTATGCCGAGGAGCTGAATCAGCGTGGCTTGGAGAAAAACGGTCAGCCTCAACCAAGAAGTGAAAGAACTGCACTTTTGTAGGAACAAGAAGCTGCTAGGGGCTCCTGGCCTTACTACTGGGAGCGATCGGACGCTACGAACGGGGCTCCTGGCATCGCTACGAACGGAGCGATTAAGAGATGGGGAGTTTTTCCGCGTTTTTCCATGCTTGAAAGATTGCCAGATGTTGCTCCGTCATCTTCAGTCGCGACTGGCCCAGGTGTTTTGGGACGGCATGTGGTGCCACACGTGGGTGATCACGTGGTGGTCCTGGACCCCAGCGGCTCGCGCAGTGCCACTGGCACGGTCATGGAGGTCCGCTGTGAGGGTGGTCGAGTCCGGGTGGAACACGATGGCAGCTCAGCTCAATGGCCAGGGCCCAGTCAGTCGGCTTCGGGACGCTTTGGATTCGTTTTTTAAGAAAGAGAGCACAAGGAAGAACCGTTTAATGTCGTTTAATATATCATTAGTTAGTTTGCTATTAAGAGCGATGGCCTCCACCTAATTAGATTATGTTGGATTTGCATTTTGGAGCAAAGGATGGCAGGCATGATTCGCATCCTTTCGAAGGGATGATGTGGGATGAATGGGTTTTGAATGGTTGTGATGGGTGTTGGACAAGTTACATAATCTCCTGAACATTGCGATTTCCAGCTGCGTTTATGTTTCCTCTTCAAGGGGCTATATAGTGACCAGTGTTTTCAGTGGCACCAGCTGCTGCAACTACTCTTGCCCACTGCTGGTAGCTTTGGACCTCGGTCAAGCTTGGCTGAGGTGTGGACAGGGTTGAGCGATACTACAACACAGGGAAAGACGGCGAATTTCAGCCGCCCGTCCTTCACATGGCTTGCCATTTCAGCATTAGGTTGGAGGCCGCCTCCATAGGTTGGAAGCTCTAGACTCTAGTCTGGAGGCTTCATGTTGTTCCTTCAACTTTTGCATCCTTGTCCCTGCCACGGGGCATGGAGTTGTGCACTTTTGTCCTTTCTAGATCTGACCAAGCTTGAGATACAAGTCTTTATCAGACCGGCTGCCGTCTGTTGCGTAGCGCGACGCGCCCTGCTTGGGTGCTGGGACGTTGGTCTCCAAGGCTCGCTTTAGCTTCGCCCATGCCATCCCTCACCGATGGCGCAAGCCGACCGCGGTTCTCGACGCCTTGCTGCACGCAAAGATGGACGCAAGCGCTGAGCTGAAGTACCATGCTGTGTTTCCAAGGCTACCACGACCTCCATCCAAAGTGGAGCTGAAGGCAGAGACAGTGCCAGCTCTCTTTGTGTCCAACCAGGTCCGGCACCAAGCCAGTATGCATGGCTTGCAGCGCAACTTTGCATATGCTTGGGCCATGCTTTGCAATGGTTGTGCAGCAGCTTTCCTGTTTGAAGACTTGATATTGACACGGCAGCCTTTTGGTATGGCCACAATTGCCGCCTGCCAGGCCACTGTTAGCACCAATTCCGTGCAACGGCCGCGCTACTCAGAGATCCGCAGGACCTGCTCCGTGAGATTCTTGAAAGAACCGGCTTGTTTTGGACTTTCACACGGTCCAACCTTACAAGCGGTTCCCCTGCGATGTGTTGTTACAAGTCCGCCACCTGCTCTCGCAGGGGGACTTCTGCTGGTCGTCGTGAGCTGGAGGTGCCGGACACGGACACGGCGTCTGTGAGGACTGGCAGTCCTCAGAAACACCAGACTTCAGCTGGACGTTTTTGGGGGCGAATTCGGGCCAGCCAAGGGACTCAAACAAGGACCAAGTCTGGAAACCCTTTTGGGAGGTCAAGACATGTTCTGCTTGGCATGGATGGCTTTGCTTCGCACGTTGCAGCGTTGATTACAGGAGCCCCAGCGTTTGCAGTGCTGTCTCAAGTCATGTCCTCAGAGTGAAATTGCGGAGAAGACTTGAGACCTCGTCTTTGGCAGCTGGCAGGCTGGAAGTTTTGCGTTCTTCGCGTTCTCCCTAAACCCTACAGCCAGTGCGTGTGCCAATCCTTCAGATCCCAGCTTCGAGACCTAAAGAGGGAAGCCGATAGGGTTCAGGCATCACTGGCAAGTATCGAGGCACCAAGCTTGGCAAAGCCTTGCAGAGGTTTTGAGACTGGAGACCTGCGGTTAGAAACGCCACACCAAAACTCTATGTTCAGGCCGTGTCACGATCGTGACATGTTTTGGGAAGGAACCTGATGAAACGGTGGAAGGGAGTTAGAAAAGAGCCTCTTCAACTTCCAAGACGGGCGATGTGAATTGATTCCATTCAGGGACCCCATTTCGGGGGCTATCAAGGCATCCAGGTGTCTTTGTTCAGCCCCCATCGGGTGTGAGGCCGTGCGAGGCCCCCCACCGGTTGCCCAGGCGCTGCGGCTCGGCCCCGCTACTCGGAGCTCCGGAAGGCCCGGCAAGCGGCCACTTGGGTCGGCATGTAGGACGGCACGTAAGGGTAGAGATGGACGGCGGTTGCATAAGAACATCAGTTTCACTAAGACCAGGGGAACCCCTCAACTCTCATGGCCATTTTCAGGAGGCCATGTTGAAGCATGAAGGAGGCCCTTTCTTCCTTTCTTGACCAGTTATTGGCAGGGATGGCCACGAGCGTGTTCTGTACGCGGCTGAAGTCAAAAATCTATCAACGTAACAGCAACATCTACTGTACAGATGGCGTCTTGGTAATGAAGTTGTTGTTCACTCAGGGGGTATGTCCATGACAGTTGCTTGGGGCGAAAACTTTTGACCAGGATTTTCTTGGAAGACTAGGGACAAAGAAGCTCCTAGGTTGGAGGCCATCGCTCTTAGGGTGGAGGCCATTACTACTAGTAACAAGAAGCTACTAGGTTGGAGGCGTCTAAGAGTAGTCTCAGAATGCGTCTCGGCTCGTTTGGGCGTTTCCGTCTCCAAGGCTTTGGGAGAGACGCAGGCGACGCCGGCGACGGTGCCCGACGGTGCGGAAGAGCCACGCCGACGTCAAAGGATGCCACAGGAGCCCCAAAAAGTGATTCGGATTCAAAAGGATTCCAAAGGGCCAACACCAAACAAGACAACATTGATGTGGTTTCATGCAATGTGTGCATGGCCATTTTATGAACATGATATGACTTGCTTGCGAAGCGCTTTCTGCAGAGAATGGCACCAACAAATCTGGATACAGCTCCCTGATTGTTCAAAGCAGATGGCACGTGGACGTTACCTCCAGCCTATGAACCCATATTTCCCTGTTTTTCAGCTTATTATGCTATCTTGATTCGGCATGGGCCTTCTACTGGGAGCCCCCAGCGTACAACCCTCGGGACTGGCCGTGCTCCTCCATTCGCCGTAGAGGAGCCGGTCGAGGCGACAGTTGAAGTCGCCAGTGAAGACGCTGGAGGCCTGGCTCAACGTTCGTTTTTTTTTTTGAGGTGTATAGTATTCAGATAAGGTATAAATAACTAATAAACACGCACACATGTATATAGTGTGTATATATATATAACGTCCTATATACATCGCATACTATATATTTGCGGCACCCGGCCTCTTCGTAGAAGAGGAGATAGCTGAAGCGCAGACATTGGGAGAGAAGCGTTGGTGCACTGGTGCACTGTAGATTCACGGGGATGCAGACGTGTCAACCTGTGCTTGCTGCCAGGCCCTTCCAGACTAACTCCTAGGCCAAGGAGCAGGCAGCTTGGTCGGTTGGACCTTTTCTTCTTCCAGGTGGAGCCTTTGGGGAAGTGAAGAGAGTTCTGAGCACATGTCACATGGCATCCTGCCTAAAAGCTGATGGCCTCCCGGTTACACAACCTCCCGCGTACGTCTCCGTGCGGTACGGGCGGTACGAGGTACACGGAGTTGCGGAAGGCCTCCAGGAGTCCCGTAAGGCTGGGAGAAGATCGTTCTTTTAAACATGGGGTTGGCCTAATTATACTTTGGCCTAAGTCATTAGGCCCCAGAACTATTCCAGGAGTGTGGGATAATTATATAGATGTTTATTTTGGTTGGACGAGTTTCCACTATGCCTCGAGAGCTTTACTCAGAAAGATCCTCGCAGCTTGAGCGAGCTACCCGAAGTCGGTTGGTGTTCTGGGAGGTCAGTGGCTGATCCTTGCGGAAATGCGCGTGATGCTGTGAAGACACCGGCATCATGGCTTGCATGGGCTTGCCTTCACACGAGTATATTACAATCATTCACATGAACTGAAGGAAAGACTGGATAACAACTCCAAAGGTTTTTCAAGACGAACTCACACGCAACAAACATGCACGACAAGAATCACGCATAGTAAAACGCTGGAAGAAGAAGGTCCAGCGGAGTCAGGGCATATTGCAGGCTTTGGCAGTTGCATATATTGCACTTCTTACTTGGTCAACTTGTCCTCGGTCCCGAGAGTCTAAGATGTCACGAAGATCGAAGGAGTGCAGTGTTTGAACTACAGTGGGCATCAGAGGTTCGATGGCGTGTTGGGCCCCCATATTAAAAGATCGGTTTGTAAACCTGAAACCACTGTAATTCGATCGTCCATCTCAGGTGTTTGAACAGGCAGAGCCGGCCAGCGGGGCAGCGCAAGCGCTTCAAGTGCCAGTGTTGCACGTGACGCCAGTGACACAAGCGCAAGAAGCGCCAGGCTCCGGCAGCGGTTTGGGCTTGGCATGGGGATGCGGGGATGATGTGGGGATGTGACGGAATTCGTCTTGGACAATGAGAATTTGAAGGTTTGTAAGTCACAAGTGTCATGATTGCTGTGCCCCTGGACACCTGCCTGAACTTTGCAGGTGCCCGGAGCAACGAAAGGAGCCCTGAAGTCCTTGAGCTCCTGAAAAGACTCGAAAAGCTGGAGCGTCCTGGATTGAGAAGTGGTTTGGTCGCGATGCTTAGCAGCCTTGGCAACCACGGAGAAGACAGAGTCAGGAAACCAACGACGGAGAGTCAGGAAACCGTTAGTCAGACTCTGTCATCATCCTTCGCAACGAATAATATGACATGTTTCCACCATCCAAGTCCAAGCCCCATAGTAAGGTGAGTGACGGTGAACGTGGGAATCTTGCCCCCATGAAGTGACTACATCAGTCGTCTACATCAGTCTACCACCATCAGAAAGATGGCCTTTCCAACCTTCTAGTAGGTTGGAGGCCATCGTTATTAGAAGCTACTAGTAGCTCCTGGCATTACTACTGGTAGCAAGAAGCTACCAAGCTACCAGTATATAACAAGGGCATTTCTACTAGTAGCAAAGTGCCTTACTAATTTAGTTTGCTATTGGGTTGGAGGCCATCGCTACTAGGTTGCCATACCAAGCCTTCAATCTTGTGAATCCGACCCGAGCAGCCCTTGTTCCTGGTAGCGAACATTGCTCCTAGTAGTAAGGCCAGGAGCCCCTAGTAGCGTCCTTGCTCCTAGTAGCGATGCTCTTTGCTCCTAGTAGCTTCTTGCGCCTAGTAGTAAGGCCAAGAGCTACTAGTAGCGTCCTTGCTCCTAGTCACGGTGTGGTCTCTGTGTCGCTCAGGGGGGCGACGATGTCGCTGACGACTCAGTTGAAGGACTTGAAAGTCTCCCAGTCATTTGCCACTGGAGCCCGCACCAATGGGAGGAGGCTGCGGATTTAGGCAGTTGCAAGTGATGCACTGTTCATGGAGAAGATTTGCTGCATGACAGATTCGCATTTGCAGACAGATAGATTGGTGCCGACCCGCAGTCCATCCGAGATCGAGTCAGTCGCCAACATGCACGATGGGGCCATGAGCCATCGAACATCCACCGAACCCCAAAAAGGGCTTGAAAGAGGCCAACAGGCGCCTGAGCACGTGCTCAAAGTCTGACTCAGCCCGACTCAGGAAACGTGTGAAAAGCTTTGCCTATCTTGGCAAGATGAAAGTCGCAGGTGCCATGGTTGAGACTATGAGAGGAATGGATTTGGTCCAAGTGATATCGAATACTGCTTCAGGTTTTGTCCTTGATGAGATGTTCTTTCTTCCCTTTTGCTTGTTTGCACGTGCTGGTGCTTGGTATCGTCTGTACCTGAGGCAGCTTGAGGCTGGCAAAGAACAACTTAGACATTATCTTCACGAAGAGACTCCCAGATGCATTTGTGCTGAGTGCGGTTGTTGGTTGATGTGTGCGAACTTTAGAATCGAGCGCGCGACTGACCATGGCCACACGTGATGCAGCTTTGGCATGAACAAAAAAAACACCAGCGAGCCGCTGATTTGTGCCTCGCCCAAGCGGTGAAGCATCAACTCACCAATTTTCTCGGTGAAACACCAACTCACTGAAAGCGCCTTGTGCAACCCTAGGATTTGTCAGCAGCTGGAGAAAGTTGATAGACAGATCTCCGCCAAGGCCACTTCAAACGGAGGGGGGGTCACCACTTTGTCATTGGGACGTTACTAGGGGCTCCTGGCCGTACTACTGGGAGCAAGAATGCTACTAGGAACAACTGGCATCGCTACTAGGAACAAGAAGCTACTAGTAGCGTCCTTGCTTCTAGTAGTAAGGCCAGGAGCTACTGAGCAACTGCCTAGGGCCTTGGAGCTGTGCGAGATGCGTGTCGCCAACGAATTCAACACGCCCAGGTGGAAACATGTGAAAAGCTTTGCCAATCCTGGAAAGATGAGAGTCGACGGTGCCTTGCTTGAGACGTTCAACATGGAGCAAAAGCTACAGCACTCAGGGGAAGAAGTAGAAATGAGCGTTGGGGCCGCTGGTTAAAGACTGCCCTCCTCATGGTTTTTGCACGTTTTTGCCCTCTCCTGAGGCAGTTTGAGGCTAGCGAAGAACTTCTTAGACAATATCTTCGTGACGAGACTCTTAGATGCATTTGTGCTGGGTGCTGTTGTCTCGTGATGTGTGTTTGCTCTCTAGAGCCGAGCACCTGCGTGTGATGGAATGGCCGAGCAGACGGAAACTGGCGGAGCCCTCAAAGGCCAAGTGTCGCCCTTGAGCAACCTAGGATCCGCCAGCAGCTGGAGCAAGTGGAGAGACGGATCTCCGCCAAGGCCCGCTGACGGACCGGCTCGGTGAGGAGCCGAACTGGTCTCGATGCCGAACCCCATTCCCTGCCATCCCCCTTTGGTTTCCTTTGAGGATCCTCCGTGCTTGCTATAAATGGATGGGCAGTTGACACTATATCGACATATATTAAACACCTTTTAGATCCTTTTAGGATATTTTAGGCACAAACGTTTTGCTTGTGCCTAAAATAGGCCTCCGAACGGCTCATCGAGCCCAAGATCTCGGTGCCGCTGGAGTCAGAGGAGCCGGAGCAGGAGCCTGGACCCCCAACCCAAGGAGCCGAGAGCGGCTAAGGGATGCTGGGAGCGGAATTGTTGGAGATGGTCTGGGGTTTGTGCAGGAAGGTTAAGGTTTTCACAGGCATGTTTCATTCACATCCGAGGTGTTTTCCCCAAATGGAGCGACGAGGGCACTGGTCAAGAGATAGGAACAGATTGGAACATGTGATGCAATCAGAATTCTTGAAGATGATGCAGACAGTGACTCGTGTTTCTTTTTTGTGGGGGTTGAGTGGGGGGGTTGTGAGCAAGATGAGTGCCAGCACCTCAAGCCTTAAGCGCACCTTGCGCACCAGAGGGGCTCGCTCGCTCGTGGCTCGGGGGCTGGGCTCGTGGGCTGCCTTGAGGTACGAAACTCCCAGCGCGGAGGAGCCGCCGTTTTACCTCGCAGGTGCTGAACTGGCAGACTCCGCTGGCTCCTCAGATGACCAGTTCCACCTCGCCTGGCTTTGGCAAGACGGCAAGATCGAGAGCACAGTGAGAGCACAGTGGCAGAACAGAGCACGGTACAGAGCAAGCCCCAGTGAAGCACGGTAAATCCAGGGCACATCTGACAAAGATCAATTCACTACAACGGTTTTCCGTGTGTCCTCCATTGGGCCGTTGAGGAGCTCAGCCTGCAGACCATTGGTTCTATTGCACGTCGCGTGTCTGCCTCACTGGGTGGAAGGCCGGAACTTTGAGCAACTGAGCAACTGAATGTGAACGGCCAAGAAGCTACGAACGGAGCATTTTGGGCATCGCTACGAACGGAGCAAGGACGCTACTAGGGGCTCCTGGCCTTACTACTAGGAACAAGGACGCTACGAACGGAGCAAAAGGTCTGCCGGGGCCCTACAGCATGTGCCAGCGCATGCTGCATGCCACTTCATGATTCAGGCCGGCCACTGGGCCTCCAGCTTCATCTTCTCAACGAGTCTTGGCGAAACTCACAGACAGGGGTTCTTGCATATGTTTGCACTCGAAATGGCACTCAACGTGGTCCAGAATGATCCAGTGATGCATGCTCTAGGCTTCTAGATGTCTATCATCATCAGCTGCGAAAATCAGCTGAATGACCTCATCTCTCCTTGATTTCTGGGTCGCAGCTTTCAAGGAGAGGTCGGAGAACGCCGCGCGCCTCCACCTACGCAGAGGCCGATCAAATGCGATGGACGTCAAATTGGGGGAAGGGTCCTGAATCCTACAGAGGTTAAGTGACCGTAAATAGCACCCGTAACCTGCATTACCTATAGGATAGTCGAACATAGTCGAACTAGGGTTCTTCAACCTCTGCTGGATATCCCAACTGTTAGAGAAGGCATGCACTTCGGCCCCTCTGGCCTTTGCGGGGCAAGGTCGGCTGTTGGAGGTCGAGTTGCCGAGGTTCACCGACTCCACCGGTGGTCCGAACCATCGAGCTCCAGGTCCAGCTCCGGACTCTCCGTTCGCCCGCCAGGCCGAAGGAGCGGAACTTCGACTTCGAACAGGCGCAGATGCCGCCGGTCGGGCGCGACCGGCGGTGGGGGGCGCGGCGACCTGCGCGGATGGCGCAGGGCGTGGCCTGGGGGGGTGGGGGGCACCGAGTTTTTCCGTCCGGAAGGGTAGGACAAGACGGTGAATGGATGTGTGTTGATGTCGTTGTTTGTTTTTTGTTGTGTGTGGGTGTGGGTGTCTCAACATGTGGGTGCTTGGAAATGGGATGCCGGGAATGAACAAAAGAGGATGCACGGGAGGACATTCTCACATTCGAAGTAAGGTCCTATCACATCCTTTTCCGATCTCAGGATCCTCATAGCATCTGCTGTGGATGCATCGGCGATTGGACCCTCTAGATCGCTTCTTCACCGGTCGCCGGTCTCTTCCAACCTGTCGGTCTCTATAGGAGATGGAACACCTGGCGCACATGAGACGCTATGCCTCTCAAGTGCCACCCGGCTGGAGGACGGGAGGAAGAACGGGTCATAGCGGGATCATGGGACGCGTATGGACGAGTGATGTCTTAAGGGGGGCGCCGTGCGCCGTGACCAGGAACAGGACCTGTAAACCAACAACATCACTATCACAATTGGCCTGGGCCTAGGTTGCGAGGCCAATACTAGCCAAGCATCATGCACTGTGACTGACGTAATGAAAGGGGCCCAAAGTATGTCATGTATCCCCAGAATCTGGTTTTAGAGAAGCAACCTGCAGGAAACCCCTAGTTTGGGGGGTGAAAAGAGGGGTTTTCCGGTAGATTGAATCTAGTATGTCGGAGTATGTTACATATGTCGTATGCTGAGAGGTTGCCCACTATCGCGCACTAGACCCCTTGCGAATTGAGGTTGGGAACCCAAGAAGCTGCCAGTGTCATGGCTGCAGGAAAAGCGGGGTGAGCAAGGGCAGAAGGAGCCGGTAAGGAGCGGGTACTAGAGGTGATTCTATGGCGATTCTCGATTTCTCGCCTAAGAAAGACTTCAGGAATGCCCACCAAAAACTGTCGTCTATATATAGAGATTTTCTTTAATCTACAGATGCCATCAGATGCCTGCAACATTGTTCAGCATTCTCGGAACTGCACGCGGACGATGTGCATGTTCAAGGCCCAAGAACGCCTCGCTCAGCACATCCGGAATGGCAAGCAGATCAGGACCTGAACGAAAGTCAGTCGGAACCCGAAGGAGGCGCAAGAGCCGCAAATTTCATCAATAATATATATAATATATTCCATTTGTGCCACATGCGAGAATGCTTACTGTAAGTTGCCTCGATCAAGTGAGTCGTTGAATGTCTTCACGTCCCCGGACGTATTTTCAGTGCAAAGTGCTTTGCGCATCGGATCAGAGTGAGCATAGCTCACACAGGGCTTTTGAGCTTATCATAGCTGATCAGTCCATGTCTTCGGCATGGATCTCGGGGCTCCACAGCGGGCGCGAGGAGCTTCACGAGGCTCTGCGCTCGACACTGCCAGCCTCTCCGATGAGACTTGGATGATTTGAGGGCCATGCTGTAAAGATGAAGTCTTTGAGGACTTAAATCAGTTCATTCAATGCTTCATTCAATGCTTCAGCCATCTCCGGCCTTGGACACGCCAAATGACACACCCAATGTGGAGACCCCATGAGGCCGCCCACGCCCAGGTTCGGACACCCGCAGGCCGCCGCGCGGTCCGCGCACGCTGTGCGCACCGCCCGGCCGGTGCCCTGTGCGGAACGTTGGAGGTGCGGCGGGTGGGGAGGGGCGGACGGTCCGGCCTTCGGGTCCGGTGGTTCGGGAGGTTGGAGCCAATGGGAAAGGTTTGGACCATCTTGGACTATCTTAGACTTCAAGAGGTTTGCATTCAATTGCTATTAAATGCATGCTGAGCGTGGAGAATCGACTGTAGGAGACGCACTTCTGCATCTACAACTCGATCAGAGACCGAGCCGCCATGCCCATGGGATGACGAGGAGGCTCTCGCACCGTTGGGTTGGGTTCTCATGTATGTTGACCGTTCCGATCCTTTTCGCACCGTACGCATCTTCCTCAGATGCTCATTTTGACCTCCAGCACCTGATGTTATAGATCGTACTACTAGATCCTTTATGAACCTTTTTGCTGGCCTCTTCAGGAGCCCTTGACACCACAAGACGACGGTGTCCCGCGAAGTAGGCAGAGCCATGTGCCTCGGCGCAAGCCATGAGCCTCGGGGCGCAGGAGTTGGATTGCATCCTTTCTCGGTGGCGTTGAGTTGAGTCAACTGACGTGCACCAACTTGTGTCCGTCACTGACGTGTCAGAGATGCTCTGTGTCAGACATGCTTAGCACCTATTCTTGGTGCTTGGGCGGATTCTTTTCGCATCAGAGGCATGGCATGTCGATCGGGAAGGCCGCTTGATTTTCTGACGTCTGCCACGTGTCACCCAACAACTGCCGTTTGCGGCAGCAGATTTGCCTGGTTTGGAGAACAGCAATGGCCTCCACACTTCGTTTGTCACCTTCTCCTCAACCTGCAAGATCAATTTCTTGTCTTCCACGTAGCTGTAGCAGCTTTGGGTGCCCATGCTGTGCGGCCAAACCATGTTCTTCGGGTGCCGAAGGCAGCCCTGTACTATCCCCTTGCCGTGCTTGGCCGGATCAGTTCCGTGGTAAATGGTGTGTGCCCACTGAAAGGACGAGGGAACCCATGAAACTGATCCCTCGTTTACAGTCCGATGAGCTTGCATCCGTTGGATTGGGATGCTGCCAGTGGCTGTCTGTGGCCAGGAGTTGGGGAGAAAAGTCGACGCACATTTTCTAAGCTGTTCCACGCGGAAAGCTTTCGAAGCATTTTGCTCCAGAGGTGGTTGCATTTCGTTGCGACGTCGCAGACGTCGGATAGCTTCCGTCCACGATGCGTTCGCATGTTCAGGTCCTCCATCAGAGGGGTCCTAATGAAAGGGATGGGCCAGTTCCAGCTACAAAACGTTGGATGCTGAGATGAAGCTGCAGATGCTTCCTGGTTTTGCGGGAATTCCAATTAGTCTGATGCCTTTGTGGCTCTATGTTTGAGCGCACACGGTCAACCTGAACTCTTGCACTCGTACGCTCCGACGAACATGAGAAAACATATCACTTGGAAGTGGAGAGGAGATTCAGCACCTGTTTGGTCTTCGAAAACGACAGTAGTCCTCCTGGAGGGCCTAGTTGCCACTTGCATGTGATGTGTTCGAGGTATGTGTTCGTTACAGTCATGGATGGTTTCACTTTGATTCCTCTTGTCGTTTACTGCGATTTCGTGCTTCTGAACTCTGCCAGTCCAAGCCTGGATGTTCACTGGATGGAGGTCATGAACTCCACCTGGGCCTTTGCGAAGCTACAGCGCGCTGATGCAGAGCTCATGGCGGGGTTTGGCCAATTTGTGTCGACGCAAGGAAGACCACAATCTCCTTTTCCCGTGGATTCTTTATATTTTCTCTCATGGTTTTCCTCAAGCCCCCAGGATTCTTAGTCTTAATACCACGGATTTGGGTGCCTTGATGTAACATCGAGAACCTACCTGCTAAGCAATCTACCATGCAGTCTTCCCTTCACGACTCGCTTCCCCCCCAGGCCACGTTGAGGAAGCACGACGGAGCCAACCCGGGTGCTTCTGTCTTGCCAACCCCCTTGTTCTTCCGTTTTCCAACGGTTTTTATAGGGTCCTCAAGCTGGTAGCAGCTAGGGGCCGTAGCACTCCATGGCGACCATCTACGAGAACTTAAGGCAGCTGATTACTGTTGCTACTTGCCTGCAAGAAAGCTGGATGATGCTACGAAATGACGCAAGATGCACACACTATACATGATGCAGCCGAAGCCGGAAGCAGCCGCCTTCAGGTAGATGAACTGCGGGATGTTGGTCTGCAGCACTACATCAGTCTGCCGCGCATTGCTGCAATTGGCACGCAAAGCAGTGGCGCCTCGTTGGAAGAGAGAGGGAGAGAGCTGGTCCAAGTTGAGGTCTATAGGATCCAGCGGAGAGTTGCGCACAGATTCTCAACTTGTTAGCTTTGCTTGGATGCGGTTGAGTGACCCCATAGTATTCCATGCTTCCGAAGACAAAACGTGATCCTCTGGAGATTTTTTCAGTTTCCAGTGCCCCCAAAACGCATGTCTGTATGACTCTTGAACCAGTGGGGAGTCCATTGTGAAGTCGTGATGAGCTTGGCGCCTGTTGAAGATGCCGCGCTTCTTTGGTGATTTTATGGCACCAACTGTGAAGAAAACAGTGTGGTCATTCATAGGCACATTTGAGATTTGAAGATGAAACTACCACCCTTTTGAGGCTGAACTGGAGGCGACTCAGAATGAATGACTTTTGTTACGCTGGCCGACCCCACCCGGCTGTATCTTTTCTCTATTTTTGGGTTGGACCCCCTAGAATGCAGGCAACAGAACAGCAATAGAACAACAAACCTGAATATATCTGCCTTGAAACTCAATTAGGGACAGATTCATCTGAATTCATTGTACACTTCATTGTACATCCCGTTGTCTTTCACCCACGCAGAAAGACACGGCCCTTTTAGATCTTCGACCTTCGGATATACCTTCGTGGTCAGCTCAGTTACCTGGCTGAGGCAAAAGCTCTTTGATCGAGTCGATCGTCGGCTTGGACTTCCTTCCCCGGGGCGGCGGAGTCGTGACGCGTCGCCCCTTGGAGTTGCGCCTCGTGCACCTGAACACCCAGGAGCCGAGCGCCGCAGCTTGTGGGGTTCTCGATCCGTGTGCTTGGTATGCTAGGCCCTACTAGTAGATCCTAGTAGTAGTGTTTGTACGGAAGACCACGTATATAGTACATAGTTATTGTACAATATGTCATAGTATGCCATAGTCAATGTAATTAGGTTGCCAGCCAATCACCAAAGAGTAGCTCAGAGGCCTTCTTCTTCGTGACTAGTCGTGCCCGACAAAGAGAAGGAACAACAAACACGGCCACAGCACTCATCCTGTTGGCTTTTCTATGTTTTTCTTAAACGTACGCCTCACACGCCCCTGCAAGTGACCAAAGCCGTAAGCTGAGGAGAAGCAACAAGGCAACCTCAGAGTTCAATTGTCAAAGTGTTATTCAAACCCGTTGATGCTGAGTTTTTGATACTTACTCTCTTCAGCCAGCTTCAGCTTCACTTTGTGTTCCTATGTGTTCCTCCTATTGCAGGAGTATGCCGAAAACGAGGCATGGGCAGTTTTCGACAAGGCGCAGCTGTCTGAAGTCATCTGAAGTTTAAGCCGCGTGAAGAAACGTGCCATGATTGCCAACCGACGCCGCTGCAGTGAAAACGCGCCCAAGAGTGTGACAAAGCCAACAGCCGACCGGACACAAGCCCCCAAGGCTCAACGTGTTTTTCTGCAAGACCTCGAGCCTCGAGCCGCTCGCGGTGTGTTTTTCCGAACGTTCCGGACAGGTCGGCGACAAGAAGTTCACGAACTTCAATGACGTCAGGGATGAGATTGAGCGACAAACTGACCAAGTGGCTGGATCTAACAAGGGCATCGTGAATGATCCCATCATTTTGACGATCTATGCTACTGGAGCGCCAGATCTTACTCTCATTGACCTGCCGGGCATCACGCGTGTGCCAGTGAAAGGCAGTGATCAGAAGGATGATGTGGAGAAGGCTTGGCTCTTAGCCGGGTTATGCTAGGCTATGCTAGGTCAGGCGGTCCTTAACTCCAAATTGACATGTTCAATTGTAATATTGTAGTCGCAAATCTTCTTCTTTTGTGGTGGTGCTTACTCGACTTCATTGTGTACACCACTATCCGGCAGAAGAGTTTATGCTTGAATCATGCTGTGCCTTGAGTGATCCTTGAGTGATGCCGTGCTGCAGAAACTTTGATTATTTTTGAGGTGACCCGGGACATGACTCTCCACTACATCAATGATCCTCGCACCATCGTCTTGGCAGTTTTGCCCGCCAATCAGGACATGTCTGTTTCGGACTCCCTGCAACTTGCACGTCAGGTTGACCCACAAGGTTTGCGAAGCTCAGCTGAAGAGTGATATTGCATTATTGCATGCATACCAGCTGTTTTCGGGCCGCTCTTTGGTTGACCTATGCCAATAGGATTCTAAGATCTTGTCCCTTTGGCCCTACTGACTTCACACTGAGGATCGATCGGTGTGATTACCAAGATTGACATCATGGATCAGGGTACAGATGCTGCTTCCATGTTGAGAGGGGACGAAGTCCCCTTGCGCCTGGGCTATGTGGGTGTCAAGATGCGAAGTCAGCAAGACATTGTCAACAAAAAGCCCGTGAAGGACGCTTTGAAGGATGAGAAGGCTTGGTTTGAGAACCACCGAGTCTACAACAAGCTTCCTCCAGGATTGGTGGGCACTCCTGTCTTGATTGACAAGCTCACCCAGATTCTCTTCAAACATATTCGAAGGTTTCTGCCAGAGATCAAGAAAGAGATCAATGAAAAGCGCCGTTCAGTGCAAGATCGTTTGGACGAGCTCGGCGAGGGTGTTCCAGTCGACACTGCGGAACGGGTGCAGGTGATGTGGACTTTGGTCACGGACTACTGTGACATGTTCAAAAATACCATCCGTGCCTCAGCTGAGAAGCAATGC